AAGGGACAGAAAACAATTCTTTATCAGGATATAAAAGAGTGAATGGGGGTTTCATGTCAAGAACCCGTGAAGGAATTCGGTTGATGAGATASACARYTRTGARAATGGCATCTYCCCWKAAATGTATAGGCACATTGGAGTTGAATATGATACTTCTAGCTACTTCCAATATGTGCCTATTCTTTTTCTCAGCCACCCCATTCTGATAAGGGGTATGAGGGCAGGTACTCTGATGGATAATCCCATGGTCAAGAAAATAAGAGGCTAGTGATGTTTTAAAGTATTCTCTCGCACTATTGGATCTGAAAAATTTGATTTTTACCCCAAAATAGGTTAAAATCATCTGATGAAGGGTTTGGGTTAGGGTAGGGACCTCATCTCGAGAACGCATCAAGTAGACCCAAGAAAATCGGGTGGAGTCATCAACAAACAGCAAGAAGTATCTGTACCCCCCCATAGCAGTGATGTGATATGGTTCCCAAACATCGGTATGCACAATGTCAAAAGGAACACTACTTCTCTTATTACTTAATGAATATGTTGTTTTACAATGCTTTGCAAGTTCACAACTTTCACACTTTAAACTGGACACTTGGATAGATTCAAATAAACTAGGAAACGAGCTTTTCAAAGACCTAAAGGATAAATCACCCAATCGGTTGTGCCAAAGCATGACTTGACCAATAGACTGAGAAACAAAAGACCCTCTAACTTCACTACCATCCCACTGTGAACTTCCTCCAAGCAGATAGATTTCATTTGTCTCACGGCCAGTCCCAATCACCTTCTTTGTTTCCAAATCCTGAAAAACACATCGATCAGGAAAAAAGGTTACTGAGCAATTCTAGTTTTTAGTAATGCTGCTAATTGAAAGTAAATTGGTGCTAAGTTTAGGAAGATGCAAAACAGAAGACAGGGAAATGGACTAGACAACTTGATGTATCCCTTGCTAGAAATGGGAACAAGTGATCCATCAGCAATAGACACCTTGTCTTTACCAGAGGATAAGTGATAGGTAGTAAATAGTGAAGGCAAACCAGTTATATGATCAGATGCACCTGAGTTTATTACCCAACAATGTTCAGTGTTACCTGGAGTTGAAGCATGATAAGATGAGGCCCGTGTACCTGAATGAGCAAATGCTGAGGTGGGAGGAGTTGATGTTGTGACTGGCTGAGATGATGATGTTGAATTACCAACCTCCTTTTCCAACTGAGTCAAGGCAGCTCGGACAGCTGTATTAGCATTCTCCTTCTTGTTCCTGAGTTTTGCGGGAACTAGATGAGGATGTAGCTTCCAACAGGTTTCTTTGGTATGCTTAGGTTTCTTGCAATGTTCACATATTAGGTCCTTTTTGTCTTGCTTCTTCATATCTCTCTCCTTATCCCCCCCAAACTTGGGTTTAGTTGCTGCCAAGGCTGATTCAAGTGGCGAATGCTGTAACATGTCTTTCCTTCTACTTTCTTCACTGTGCTCTAGAGAGTAAGCTTGTGATAGAGTCACACTGTCTCTTGTTAGAAACTGTTGTTTCAGAATGTCACACTCAGAATTCAGACTAACTAGAAACTCAAATACCCTATTGGTTTCAACCTGCTTTTTGTAGGTTTGTGCATCCTTCTGGCTTTCCCACTCAATTGTTTCTAAGTGATCAATCTCATGCCACAAGGATTTCAAGGTGGAAAAATAAACTGAGACTGGCTTCTCTCCTTGCTTAAGGTTATTCACCTTACATTTTAGCTCATAGGCCCTAGCAACATTGAGGGGTTGGGAGTAGGTTTCTTTCATGATATCCCAGATTTTTTTAGCTGTTTTTGCCCATAAATAATTTCGGCTGATATGTGGTTGCATGGAATTACACAGCCATGTCATAACCAAATAGTTCTCCTGAACCCATTTGGTATATATTTGGTCCTCCTTGGCTGGTTCCTTGACATTTCCCAGTAAATAATTTAGCTTTCCTCTACCCCCAATAGCCATCATTGCTGATTGGGCCCACTCTAGGTAGTTTGACCCATCAAATTTTACAGTGGTAATCTGAAAACTGTTCTCAGGTATGCTACCAGCACCACCAGCCCCTAAATAGTTTTCCCGTTGGCTCTTAAACTCCATTCTTTGTCAAGAAAAGATTAACAAATGCCTTTTGTATCACTGAGACTGGGTAACTACACCCAAAATTTGCTATCAGCCGAACCTACTTTATTCTTCTAGGTCGGCAATCCACCCAAAAAAGATAACCTTCTAAGTACAACTTAGAGTGTAGGGCTGAGAGTGCAAGGCTGAAACTAACTGCAGTCCTAGAATTGGCGACAGTCAAGAAACTAGAATCTTGAACCTAGAACCAGTCAAAGGTCAAGAAACAAGCCAAAAACACAATCAGTTCAGCCACACCTCTTAAAGTAACCAAAAAAACTATTCTTTTTATGTATCAAGAACAGTTCAGGAGGAAAAAACTTTCAGTCGAACCTTTGAAATAACCAGAAAAGGTAATCCTTTTAATAGAAAAGATTGACTTACTTCAGCAAAACTCTTGCCGCAACCTTCAAAGATAAGTCTGAACCCTAATCTTGAGGGTTCTTCCTTCTGACTTTCTGGCCGCAACCTTCAAAAACAAGTCTGAACCCTAATCTTGAGGGTTCTTCCTTTTGACTTTTTGGCCGCAACCTTCAAAAACAAGTCTGAACCCTAATCTTGAGGGTTCTTCCTTTTGACTCTTCCTGATTGCTGGTCATCCTCTGATGCTTCACCAACAATCTCCAAGACTCAGCTGATGGCGAACATAAAAATGAGCCTTTGTACAATGAGAAACTGTACAGCAGGAAAATCGATATCCACAAATTTCCAATCCTCCAAAAACCAAAAAAGATTATAGATTTCTTACAAATAGGAAGTCTGAATCAAAAAAGGAAGACATATGCCTATTTTTGAATAGGTGATTAACTGCCAACCGGGAGTGTATCATCCCCAAAATTCTGTTAAAAACTTCTTCTTCTGGATGCAGATTGGTTGGGCTCCTTCTACTAATGGAATTCGATGGTCGCAAGCTCTCTGAGGTGGCAAGTCTTGGGGCTCTGAAAATACTTTCTGGTAGTCCTGCAACACCCTTTTCAACTGGGGGTCTAGCTCTATTGCCTCCTCTTCTAATTCATTGTGCATCTGAAGCAAGTATACTTGACTGGCACACTGCAGCTATGTTTTAAAACTTGGAGGTGTGACACAAGGCATTTCACTACCTTGAGGCGTGAGGCGTAGTTCAGAATGAAAGAGGCGTAAGCCTCCTTAAGAGGAGGGGAATGAGGAGGAAGGAGGAGGAAGGGGAGGAGGAAGGAGGACCTCATTTTTCTTTATTTTTAATAAAAATCTTTTATGTTAAAAAGAATGAAGATGGATAGGATAGGGGACCATCCAGAAAGTGTAAAAATGATTTTATTGAGATGTGCGAGCAAAATGTTAACACTGGTGATCGGCGATAAATCTCAGTTCCTTCGTCTTAAAGTTCTTTACTTGTGCGAGAAAATGAAGAGGTTTGCAGTAGTTGGATCAAAATCTTTTGAAATTTTACGAAAAGACAAGAAGATGAAATCACAGTAACAGAAAGAGGCAAGGGAGTTTGGACACATAGTCTTGACTCAGGAGGATTTTCTTTGGACCGGGAAGTTTATCCAGGAGGTTTTGGAAGACAAACGGAGGCTGTTCGCAGACTACAAGAGAGTTAACAAAGGAAGAATCTTTTGCATTCAGCTGAAGGAAAACAAATGGGGCAGATTTATTCTTTTGAGTAGATGGGAGAAGTTGGACATCTGTATCCCAGAAGAGCTAGCTTCTGGAGGTTGGAAATCTCTCATCCAATTGATGGACTACTTTTGTTCTTCCGAAGTGAAAATAGTTCTTGAAGTTCCTTCATCGAACCTGTTCCCTCCGCTCGGAACCAAGAGTAGGATCACCAAGATAGGGGGTTCTGCGCTTCTATCTCCCATCATGAGAAACCTTTTGGAAACTGGAAGATGGCATTCATTTGTACGAAGCCCTCCTCAATGAAGTGGGAAGATGTAGAGTTAGGGCTGTCTGCGAATCTTCATGCAGAATGCCTGGTGAAGTTGTTCCCTTTTGAAAAGAACAAAGGAGTGGGTTTTGCCCCCACGGAATTTCTATCTTATCCTGGAGCAAGCAAGAGTCAAACTTCATTTTTGGTGACTAGGTTAAATATACCCTTCCAAGAGAGGACAATTTACTGGGGTTGTTCACAAGAAGTGATAAGCTGGCTATACAGAAACTCTTTCAAGTGATTTTGGCTTTAATCTGGTTCTTGGCATTCTCTTTCATCAAAAGCTGTTTAGAATGATACAATCAAATGGCTAAAACAGCTGTTTATAAGCAGAAAACTGAACTAGTGAATATTAAATATAAGACCTAATAGTACCTTGGAATGTCATTTTGACTTCAATCTTGCCAATTGGATATTAGACAGGTTTATAAGCTTTCACTACTGAAATGTGGAAGAAACTATATTTAGATAGCCTTCTATAGGTCTTTTCTGTGACACATGTATGGAGTTGGTTATCTGGATAACCTTTTCTTTGTTTTCATTCTTTTTTCTACTTTACCCCTCTTTGTATACTTGCAGCCTGGTTGAAATGCATCTTTCAGGAGAAAGATAAACCACTACTGGATCCATCACTCTTTTGTTGTATGGTGAAAGATATAAGAATAAAACAACAATACCATTAAGTATTGACCTTTGAGTGCCTCTTAGATGTGAACCATCAAGTGCTGGTTATATCGTCGTCACATTTAGGTGAAGTTGATGAAATGATCATGCATTGTCCCATGCATATGTCAACGATGCTACATGTTCCAGCAGATTGGGTTTTCTAACCATTTTCCAGTATGCTGGTGCTCATATCTAAGTGGTTAATATCAAGGTGCTTAGCTATTTCTGAGTCTGCATTGTCAAGTTGGAGGACCCTTCCAATAATTAGTTTATTTGATTCGTTTGAATATAGATTCTTCTTGCAGCTAATAGCTGTGTTACCAAAGACATTACTGAACCAGGAGACTATGGTGGTTTTTCTTCGGTAAGGATTAATTGATAATGTTTAAGTTTTGTTTATCTTGTTGCACCAAAACAAAAAGTTTTATTAATCTATAGATGCTTAGAGAGTTTACTGATTTACAAGAATCTGGTTTTGGGTGTCTCTGTAGGTGCTTATCAATGAATGGCGGAGACAAGTTGCTACCCATCGTTGGATATTGAAGAAGGGCATTGTTGACCTGCTTCCATGCAATATATCATATATCAATGAGGTCATGTTGGTCCTCTACGGATGACAACGTGAGCATATGTGCTCATGGCTATTTACCAAAGATTGAGAGAAATTTTCATCATTTCAAGCAATGTTGACGAATCCATATCTATTCTGCAGCACAACTTATAAGGCAAAGTAGAAAGATTGCTGTTTTGCTGGGTTTGAATCTCTTTTTGGCAATACTATATATATGTGTGTATATATTTTGATGGGAAAGACTGAGGTATTGAGTGGCTTTTTAGTGACACCAATCAGACAACCACTCAATTCTTCATCCACTGAAAACCCCTATATCATTCGTGCATGTAGCTAAAACAAAGGATGAGCTGAAATATATATACATCCAGTCATCTAGATAACCTGTTTAAGAAATATGTAGGTTGTGATTGATTAAACCACTACAAAAAAAAATTGGTGTTTGTCGTGGAAAACTCTGTGAAGTTTACATAAATATTGTGTATATAAAAGTCTCAAAATAATTTTGCGACGTTTGAAAATTTCACCAAAAGATTTGTGTCGTTCAACCCAACTTTCGGGGATGTTTACAAATGTCACCAAAACATTTAGCTTTTGGTGACATTTACAAATGTCGTCAAAAAGGTCAATCTTCGTTGGCATTTACAAACATCACCAAAAAAAATTCAATTTTCGGTGACGTTTATAAATGTCGCTAAAATGCAACTTTATTGCTACTTTTGGTGGCATTTGTTTTTGGTATCCCAATGGCTTTACATAATTTCTTATCACATGTTTTACACTTAATTCATTGCATTCCTATGTATGACTATTCAATTGATAATATAAATATATATTAAAATAAAATAAATTAAACCTTAATATTATAATTAACAAAAATTTATTTACAAATAAGTATTCTTATTTAAACATAAAATACATGCAATAACGAAAAATTTATCATCCAAAATGAATAGATTTTCCCTTTACATTGGCATTTTTCTCCCTATTTGCTACATGTGCATGAGAGGACCCAGTGTCAAATTGTTGGATGTTCTACAAAAGACAAAAATAATGATGTTATTTTTATGCCAAAAGATATGAAAACCAACATCATAGTTTTGTATAGAATGGCGAGACAATGGCTAGGAGTAGAGGTGTAAAACGACCTATGCTGGGTTGGCACGGGGGCGGCTCACAGGCCGTCTCAAGCCATGCCTTCCTCCCCTAGGATATTTTGGGTGGTCGGCCTGAACCCATGCGTGCCTATGCCAGGCCATGTTAGGCTGGTTTGTGGGTTGAGCCTTAGTCTAGGCTGGGCCATAGACAGGACCAAAGTTATTTATTTAAAAAAAAATGAAAAAACTTAAAATTTTAATTTTATATGAACTTTGATGTATACAATTGCTTATATATACAATAATTAAATAAAATAGTATAATAAAATTGAAAGATGTTAATTTTATTAATATTATATATAATATATATATATATATATATTTATTTATATGGGCCATGCTGGGCCACGGGCCACAGACAGCACGACACGACAGTGCAAGCTGTGCCAGCCCGACCCACTGATCTGAAATCCAAGTCCAGCACAGCCTATGGACCATTGGGCCGGGCCGGATCAAAATCGTGCCAGGCCACGAGCAATACGACCCAATTTACACCACTAGCTAGGGGTCATAAATGGGTAGGTTGAGTGCGGATTGAGTACCAACCTACCCATTAATAACCCACACCCATTTTCCATCCATATAAATTGGGTAATAGTGGTCTAATACCCATGCTAACTCACCCAGTTTAAATTATGTAAACTACCTAAGAAAAAAGTTTTGGATTTAAGCTAAAAACTGGAAATTCCACAAAAAACATAAAATAATAAAAAATTTCTATATAATACAAAAAACAATATATAGAACTTCAAAAAATTATATATATCAACTAAAAGAAATTGCAGAAACATATAGAAATGATGATTTTTTTTAAAAAAAATTATATATTTCTGCTATAAATGAAAATTTTCAGAAAAACACATAAAATAATAAAAAAATTCAAAAAAATATCTAATTCAACTAAAAACAATAATGGTAGAAAAAATAGAAAATAATAAAATTTTGAAAAATTATATATTTCTGATATGGAAGAATAATTGCAGAAAATACATAAAATAATAAGAAGGTTAAAAACATTATATATTTAAACTAAAAATTGAATAATCTAATTTAATCGAAATAAAGATTTCCTTGCAACAAACTACTCTGAATATGAATTATGAAACAACCATGGATTCTTGTCATCTCATACGGAATGCACCAAAATTCTAGAATTGGCATTTGTCGTTTGTTTAGAAGGAATTTATTAATAAAAATGGGGGTGGGGGAACATGAACCTAACCCCTCAAAACCAATACGCAAGATCATCAACTTCTATCAAATAAACAAGTAGATGTAAATTCAAGAATCATATAGAGGGTGATACCCTTTATTTGGCCTTGAAGAATTATTGAAGATTTACACACTATAGCCAAGTCTTATTTAGATCTTGGTCCCTTTTAGATTTACGACCGCTCTTCTTCCTTTGGACAAATATGAAACCTTGATCAAAATCATTATCCTCTACTTCATTCTTGTTTGGTCCAATAATCTCGGTATCCAAATCCCCAGAATGAGCATCCACCTCTACACTATGAGCCTCTGTGCCCACCATAACCATATGGTCTCCTTTTGTTTCTTGCTTCATAGTAACAATACGTCTAGCATCAAGATGCTTTTGGATCATGGAAAGCATCGTTTATAACACCCACAATCTTCTTTTGAATACCAATCGAATTAGAATTAAGGTTGTTTCCTTGTGTTGCTCAGATCTTCGTCATCCTGGTTTTCCATTCTTTCCTATTCATACATTCAAATCCTTGATCGTGAATGTGAGAAACCAAAGATAGAATTTGAAACTCTTCACCCCAAACTGATGAGGAATCCAATAGTGGTGAAAACACCATTCCTAGAGACCGGTGCTAGACATTGTGTTTATACGCTTGACCATCCACCTGATTTTGGATTTTGCCTTGACTCTTGGAAGAGTCTTTGTGAATGTCATTTTACCTGTCTTATTATGCACAATGACAATTTCAGGTATCACCATAGGAGTAACCTTCTCATAGATCAAAATCAAATTCACAAAGGGGAGAGGAAATCATAGAATTGGCATTTCTCCAACTACACAATTTCAGATAACATACATAAAAAATTTCCATTGTAAATAATAAATTCATAATAAAGCATAAGAAACCCTAAGAAGGTCAAACCAGAGTTTCACCAGTAATTCCAAAATAAAATTGAAAAACAAAATGAAAGAAATAAAAAGGGAAGAGAGAAAAAAGATACCTAGCTTCTAATATAGAGAAATCGATAACCATGCTAGTCATCTTCCTTTTTGTTATTCTTTGTTTGTAAATAGTGGTTGAGTCCTAAATTGTTAACGGAACAAGATTCTGTTAAAGAAAGATCGGACATTCCGGAAAGCCAGGCTAGCAACCCAAAGACATTCACCACATGATCTTTTTTAAGACCTCATCGCAACTGTATTGAACTCATCGCATATGTATTTATATATGTTGTCACTCGACGAGTTGAGAATGAATGAAAGCAGATTTTTCTTCAACAAGTTTGTTTTCTTCTGTGCAAACTATGCTCTGTTTTTGTGAGTTTTGTATCATTTTACATGGTATCAGAGCCATTTTGGGATTCTGTATTTCGTTCTTCCATCTGGTTTTCTTGTTATGGAATTGAATCACGATTTGCTCTATTTTTTGCATACCTCGGATAATCCAAAGACTTTGTTGGTATCTTGTCCACTCAACGGAGATAACTACCTGGCTTGACAACATGCAATGAGAAATGCCTTAAGAGCCAAGAACAAGTATTGCTTTGTTGATGGTTCACCATCGAAGCCCGATGTAGGGTCACCACAAGAATCACTTTGGATCAAATGCAATTTGATGGTGATTTCTTGGATTTTCAATTCATTGGCGCGAGAACTCCATGATAGTGTTGTCTACACAGACAATGGTCAGTGAGATCTGGAAAGATCATAAAGAGAGGTTCCCGCAAAAGAATGCGCCAAGAACCTACTAGCTCAAGAAAAACCTTGCAACATTGCAGCAAGGAAGTCTTTCGGTAGCAGCCTACTTCACCAAATTGAAGGCTCTATGAGACGAACTCCAAATGCTGGTTCTTGTACTTGAGTGCACTTGCAGAGCAGCTAAGCAATTTGTGGCCATGCGAGAAGACGAGAACCATTTGGATCCTTTAGATCCAAATGATGGTTCGCGTGGGACTCGATGATGTCTTCAACAATGTTAGATCCAATATTCTTGGGTCGGATCCTTTGCCAAGCATCAATAGGGCATATGCTCTAGCAGTCCAAGAAGAAAAACACCTTGCTATCATCAACACATTGATTAATACAGATCTTGATGCTGGAGCGACACTCTTTGCAAATCTTTTCCAAGAACCATTCGGTGTTTATTACCCAGACCAAGCCTAAGGTGAAATGTGAGCACTACAAGAAACATGGGCATACATGAGATCGTTGCTTTGAACTTGTCGGATACCCAACGAACTGGAACAAAGGTAAAACACAAACACAATGCAAAGGAACAAAAGCCACATTTGCTTCAATCAGTATACAGAATGATGAAGCATCTCCCATACAAGGATTAAGCCTGTAACAATACAATCGACTTATGGCTCTCATAACACCAGATAACATCACAGCCAATGCCTCTGGTAAGGCTCTCGTTACCTTTCCCAACCACCCTTGGATCTTGGATAGCAAAGCTTCAGATCATATGGTTTTGATATAAAATTCCTTACTGTTCACAAAGTATTGGCCCAACCTAAGCCAGCTCGCTTGCCCAATGGAGTGGTTTTGCAAGCTACACATCAAGGGTCGGTTATGCTGACCCCTGATATTACTCTTCATGAGGCTCTCCATATACCTGGTTTCCTTTGCAATTTGATATCCATTAACAAACTAATTGATCAATTGTGATGCACTGCCATTTTCTTGCCAACTACTTGTGTGATTCAGAACCCAGTGTCGAGGAAAGTGATTGGCATGGGTGAGGCACTAAACGGAATCTACCACTTCATTGTTGACGCTCCATGTTCCTTTGCTTTGATGGCCCACAATGAAGTTACTGTT